CGGAAGGTCTCAACTTCGCCCACTTATTTCCCAAAATTTTGGTCAAAAAATCGCCCTGCGTCTAATATTGTCCTATATGCCGTCAAATACGGTATGTCATTTTGTCAGGTGGGAGAAGTTGCATGTCTTTTGATTTTTTGATGACTACATGAATGTTCCAATAGGAGGAGTAAAATATCGAAAAAATCAATATAAGTGTATATAAATGAAACAACTTGCACTGCTTACATATTTATTTGTGCAACAAATCTTTCCTAGGAATAGTGTGTTAAATATTTCATTGTTATACCAGTAGTTTGTCTTCAGTTACAAAATTTATGAATACAGTTTATTAATTTTAATGATTTTATATAGCAAATTAGTGAAGTTATTGTGTTAGTTGTTTTTATATAAATTTCAGAGGTTTTAAATATAATTAAACATAAATAAAAGGAAAAGTCAACAAACCTAAGTTTTATGCAAGTAAATATGTCAGTTTTAGTTAAATATTACATTTGGTGAAGTGACTGTAACTGTCCTCCAGTGGTCATTAATGATTTAACAACATTTTTCTGAAAAAAATTAAATTTGAAATCCAGCAGGATTCAGTTTCACAATTCTTGTTACTGGCAAATATTTTATTCAACTAAGCTACTTAAAATATCAATTTGATTCTAGTTTTAATTATTTGTTTTGCTTTCCTTCATGTTAATTTTAAAGTCATAACTTGTTTTCTAGTTGTGAAGGATTTTAGCCATTTGCGACAATGTAAGCTATTTATGCATCATCATCATTAAGCACCCTAATGCCACTAGTTGAAAAACTCCATTTTATAGTTATCTGATTAAGTTAAATTTGTTATTCTTTTAACAAATTATTATATTATTTGTTGTGCTTATCCTTCAGGAATCTTGGTATTTTGTGTTTTATATTCTCCTTGTGTTGTTTCCAAGTGAGATGCCCCTTCTTATTAGGTTCATTAGACCACCAGGATCAGATCTGAACAAAGTACTTTTGTCCTGCATGATGAGATGTCCAGTGTGTAGACTACCACTTGTTTCATGTGTGTTTGTGAACTTCTGGATGTTCTTTCTGTCACAGTTTAACCAGTATGTCTTCTGCACCTTATATGATAAGGATGTTGCATCCTGTTTACTTCTTGCCCTCTTCCTTCACTTTTCATAAAGACTAATTTCTTTTCTAGTCAGTGATGCATTACTTATACTGTATTTGAGATCTTTTTTTCAACCGAAATAGATTAATAGATACCATAAAATAAACATATCCTCCCATCTGGAGTTGGCTATGTGAAAGTAACTTAAATAAGATATATTATTCAGAAGATGTAGATAATCCATCATTGGTGAGTATATATGGGCACATAACATTAGAAAAGAAAATGCTATAGCTTATGAACCATCATTCAGAAATGGGATCATTTCATGAAGTATCAGTTTTATGTAGTCATTAAAGTATATGTAGTAGATAAAAGCAGGTCCAACAGTCAGTCAAAATGTGTAGATTTCTGTTAGTCCAGATATGAACATCAATTTGATTAAATTTTACTTTTAAAATGCTGATTTTATGTTTTAAAGCATGAATCTTGCTTTAATATTTAAAATATTTTTGTAAGTATGTCATCAAAATTGGTGCATTCTTAGTTATCAAGTTACACTTAGCACTTGTTATTTTAAACACTCGTGACTTTGTACACAGGTAATAGTTTTGTGAATTCTGCTTCAAATGTTTATCAGTCTAATCTACAATACAAATTTGTGCATGTGCTGCTTTATACATTAAAGAAGAATTCTTATATGTTCTTCCTACATATTTAGCTATTTGCATTCTAATGTGTATATGGCCATCATTTTAAAAGAACTGGATTTCAATTTGAGAAATAAGTGTTGAACATTACCAACATCTACATAAAGTATAATCTAAATAGAAATTAAAATAAAAAGACTATTCATATGTAGGTTTTCAGGCAGATATACAGTGGTACTTTAAAACTACCTTCATCATGAATTTGCTCTAAAATATAGTTGATTTTTTAGTCCTTTCTTAATTCATCAGATCTACAACCTTGTGAAAAACTTCAAAAAATTGAAATCATAATGATCATGAATTTCAGGTTCTACCCTTTGTTAGACTTCCACTTCTCAGCCCTTATTATCTTCATGATCATGTAGCAACTCTTCCTGCTGTCACTGAGTCACCAGAAGGAAAACGGATTTTGGATGAGGCCATATCCTACCACCTCATGCCTGATAGGAGAAAAGAGCAAAGTAATTTCCGTATGATACCAAGGAGATCCCAGGGTAATTTTGGTTCTAACACTGTAAACATTCTTTCTATAACAGTAATGTTCTCTTGTTAAAGTAATGACGGTGTAATAGATCTTCATGTACATTCTGTGATAATAACTTAAAGTGAAAGTGTGTTTTAAGCTAAATATTTAAGTTCTGTGGTAGAACCCAACAAGATTCAAGGCAGTCAGTAATCATTACTATGCATGTGAATGCTGTACAATAGAATGTCAGAAAGTACAAGTTAGATATTGTACTTGGGTATGTTGCCAGTTATTAAAGATTGATAAATCACAAAGTCAAAAATTAAAGTATAAAATGTAGCTAAAAATTAGAACCTCAGATGTCACAAGGGGATCACACAGCATATGTGTCTAAAAATTACATCAGTGTCTAAATGTGGATCGTTCATGTGTGTTATATGTTAGACCATTAAATATCACAAAGTACATAGATACTTTGTGTAAGCTGTGTACTAGAATGTCTTAGTGTAATTACCATGTGCATGTTTGTTATGAGATAGAGATAAATAGATAAAGGTTAATAAAAAAAACTTTCAGATATGTGTTGGAATTCAACTGTTGTAAGGCTATCATCTACTTACATATATCATGTCCAGACGAATTTGAAGAGATATGACAAAATTATAATACATAGGAGCTATGTAACATAGAACTTCTATAAATCATAAGGTAAGTGTAGTCATCTGGAAAATGATACAAGTGAAGTTGTGTGATAAGATAGAATTTTATAATAGGTATTACAATTATAATATACTTGTGTGCTGAAATCTGTTACTGGAAATAAGATATTACTGATTTAGTGACGTCATTGGCTGAAAAATTACAATTCTTACAGTGGGATTCATGTTGGTAGTTGTTGTCATTAGGAACCTACTTGGAACTGTGTACTTTTGTGTCTTTTTTTTTTCTTTAAGTCTTTGTTTTAGGAAAATATATCTAAATAAATAAATATTTTGTGATTATTAGGAGTTGTAGATATGGTGGTTCTTTCTGGAGGAGAAGATGACAAAGTGATGTTGAAAACAGTGGAATGTTTTGATCCTGGCCTAGTTGTTTGGCATAGTTTACAGTGCTTACCTTTTGCAGTAAGCAAACATGGCATGGTGGTGACAGGTAATTGATATACTATTTTGAAAAGTAATGAAATAATTATTTCATTGCCCAGTTTAACAAAATGTATGTCCGTAGAAGATTGTTTTAGAAATCTTGAATATAGATTTTTTCTCTCAAGGTCAGGTATCACTGTTGTATAGAAACTAAAGTGATAATTTCTTTGAAATTGTAAATGTAACATTTAATAGTATTATTGAAGCATACATGTATATAAAATTGAAAATATTAATTAAGATAAATGTTTTATTTTATTTTGTTACCAGGAAGCAATACCTTGTACGTGGCTGGAGGAGAGTGTCCTGATGGAGCTTTGAGCGATACGGTATGGAGGTATGACCCAGTGTGTAACCAGTGGGTGGAAGTGGAGCCAATGAATCAACATAGATCTGAATTAGGTACTCGCGTACCTTTTCAAACGACTGAGAGGTACACCTTTCAGTGCTTCTAGCATGTGCTGAACATTTCTGTAGGGGCAGCTACATCACATTTAATAGCACTCTTTGTTCAGAAGTGAATGAAAATTTGTATAACTCTCATAAATGTAAATTATTTGCAAATAGTTGGTTTCACAGCAAATATGTTTTAATATTTTAAAGATTTCACTACACTTAATACACTTCAATGTCAACATTAAAGTCACAGCTATTTTTATTATCTGTAAAAAGTTCAGTTTTTTGGTCATTTTTTATGTGCTGTTTTTCTTAACAAATAAGTTCTGGAGTGTAAGATTAAGAGGCTTGATTATGGCATTTCTTAAAAATAATATTTTGGGAATTATAAAGAATGGGTGTAAGTCTCGTATGTTATATGTCTAATCAGTATTTTTTTCATTTATCTGAAAATGTAATTTTTTTTTGTTTCAATTGAGAGCAACAATGGCTTTGTTAATATAATGTAAACTGAACTAAGCTTTGTGTAAGAAATGATTTAATTGAACAAAATTACATTTTACTGTATTAACTCGTGTATTGCTATCTAACAAATCACCAATTTATTGGAAATTTGGCAGAATTGTATATCTCACTTTAAATGTATAAAAAAATTTACTTAGGGAGTATAAATTTCTCCAGCTTTCATATATCAACCACTTAATTTCAAAAGATGTTTATAACCAGTTTGCCAGAAATGCAGTAATAGTATTAGAGTGAACTAATACTCTTTATAGCAACAAATATTAATAGATAGATGGTAATTCATACAAATGTTTTAGGTTTAGCAGTTTTGGATGGACACATGTATGCTGTCGGTGGTTGGGAATGGGAAACTAGGTTATCCAGTGTAGAACGTTATGACTTCATACAAGACAAGTGGAGGTTTGTGTCTCCTATGGCAGTTGCATTAACAAGCCCAGCAGTGATAGCACTTAAAGGTTTACTGTATGTAGCAGGTAGGTGCACATATTAGTATCTTTTATTGTAGTTATTACAGAAAAATAGTCAGAGTGAGGTTTACCTATGTTCTCTACATAAAATACAGTAGTAAAGTTTAGTTACAATTGCATGTGGAAAAAGAAGTTTGATTTTCTTGATAGCTGGTGATACTGATAAATATGGAGCATATTTCTTGTTGTGTTTATTGTACTTGTATTCATTTTGACATATGTATAATCACATATTATTTTTAGAGTTAGTGTATTATATACTAGCTGGAGTACCTGTTCCCTGGATGGAAGTTATATATATTCATGATTAATGAATGGTTATTTTAGGACATGAAAAGCTGCTTCTCTTATATGTAATTGTAAAGAAATGCAAAAATACCCATAAAAACTGCAAAACACAAAATGTGAAATCATAAATTTGCATGCATCTCTGCATGGACCCAACAAATCTTCATATCAAATGTGATATAGATCCATTAACAGGGGGTTAAGTAGTGGTAAAAAATGCAAAAACATGCATAAAAACTTCAAAACTGAAAATTTATATGTATCTCTCCATGGACCCAGTGAACCTCCATGCCAATTTTGGTGAAGATCTATCCACACCCTGCGAAGTAGTTACATGGACAGACAACAGACAGTACTATTATACTTATATAGATGTTTTTTATGGTTAGGGTACCCAAATGATGAATCAATGCATTTTTATCATTGTAAGTTTTGTTTTATTATGTTGCATACTCCTTCTTAAACCAGTATATAATTACTGGGTTAACCATATGTGGACGTGGTCAGTCCATTTAACTGACATCCATATCAGAGAATTAATGTCAACTATAATTTCAAATTTACTTGATGTATCTTCACAAAATTTTTAGACTTTTTAGGCTTGTACAGAATTTTCAGTAAAGTATTTTCACTAAAAATTTATCTCTGAATTTACTGAGTCACTCTAACTAGTCTGAGTGCAAAGTGTCATGTTAAGAATGAACATAATTATTTTCATCTTACAGTTTTTATATTTTGTGTGTATAACCCCTAAAACCTCCAAAATGGAAATCATAAGTTTTTTGTTAAAACTTTCTACTTCATCTCTTATTTTCTTTACCCTAACACTAACTGTAGCAAAATTAAAAGTTTAAAAATATGAAATAAATTTAAATTACTTTTTTTTTTTCTAGAATGAGTGTATATTGTAACAGATGGTTACACACTATTTGTTCTTACAGCCAAATCTAATAGACTTTTCAAATCTGGGATCATTTAGTTTTATTGCTTTACAATTGCACTTGGACAGTCTTAGATATATCAAAAACCCTTCAATGCAGCCAGACAGCTTTGTGTAAACAAACAATCAAGTTACTTTGTTAAATTACAACCATTCCTTGTGAAGTGCATGTGCTATTATGAAATATCACAATAAATTTGTTATTTAATTTTTTTAAAGTTAAGTTTTCTTATGTAACATAATAAATGTCTCATTTTTATATTATAGTTAATTTTATAAAAATGAATACAAAATCTGTATTAAAAAACAAGAAATTTAGTACTTACATTTGTATTCCTGCCATCAGCAGACAAAGCTTTGTAGGCTTACTTTTTAGTAAAAATATTGATGGTCCAAAATATTATTGATTTTATTTCAAGTATACAGTTTAAAACACAAAATATTATCATGCACAAACAACAGAATGTTCTAAAACTACTATAATTTAACTGTTTTTCTAACTAAGCTATAAGTGGGTTAAAAAATTTGTTAGCTGGTTGACCCAAACACCACGAAGGCAAACAATGAAACTGAAGTTACGTTCCCAAACCTGTTGCTTGAATGAACAAGCCTGATAATAAGTCTTATATAAAGCAGAACCTTCTGTTTCTATTAGAATATTTATTTATGAAGGACTGGATAAAATAGGAGGGGCATGGTGTGTGAGTTTGACTTTCTTGTTTATATTTCAGTAAAGAATGAAGTTTGGAGGCTATAACTGTGTATTGTGACATAGCAATATCTATAGTATAAATGTGTAATTGATGGCAAATTTAAAAGATCATACAGGAAAAGAATCTAAAATGGAAAATTTGGATTAAAGAAGCATCACATGATACAGAGAAGTGAAGATTGAGAGTTTATTTAATTATTGTCTTTTGAAATTAAGACATTAAAACTTAAATAATATAAGATTTCAATTCTAAACTACATTTTGATGCCAAGCTTATTAACATACATTGATGATTATGTTTTTTTAATTAAAGTTTGAATGTAACTCTTGTAAGAGGTCATAATGAGCACTTTGACCCTCATCTGTAAACATAGGGTTAACTTATAGTTTTGATCTATGTAGGTGGCTTATATTGCTCAGAAATTAATTATAATTGTCCTAATGTCATTTATAAAACTTTAACAGTATTTTAATTGTCCATATTTCAGAAAGGATATATAGTTTTTTCATGTAGTTCAACATCCGTTTGTAATAAAAATTATCCTGTTCATAGCCAGTTTATGACTGAGTAAACAGCTTATGATTACAACTGTTGGGATGTTGTTTCAGGTGGTTCTTCACAACAGAATGAAGATGGTGCCAGTCTTGTGCAAGCATATAATCCTACAAAAGATTCCTGGTCACTTGTGGCTCCACTACTTGCACCAAGATTTGGTGCTGGGATTTGTGTGCTCAATGGATTAATCTATGTAATAGGTATACATTTAAAGATAATGATATAGTCTAACCTTTCTATCTTCGCTTTAAAAAATTTCTGTACAACACAAAATAAGAATTCTGTTGCAGAATTAAACATTAAAGTCAGTTATGATTTTTGAACCATGGTTGAAAGTAAGTTTAAATGTGAGTAAAAAAAGATATTATGAAGTGTAATAAGTTAGAGTTTCCATATTAAAAAGTAATAGTAAAACAGTCTTGTTATTGCTAGATTTACCTAGTTAAAGGGTCATGATAGATAATAACTATAACTTTTGATTTGTTTACCATTCAAGAAATGCTCTGTTAGATTAACCTCTTTTCTGCCAATGTTCCCATGTTATAACAAGACAGGTTTTGACAAACAGGTGTTTTTCTTTTAAGTTTTGAGATTAGTTATTGATGTAATCTTAAATACCTAAGAGAAGTGTTTCATAGACTAAGTTTTTATCATGATTGATTGATTTTTGTAAAAGTTGTGATTCTATGAAAATGTGAACAGTTAGACTCACCAACTTGCCAACTGACATCCTTCTTGTAAATTAAAGTAAAACATATTTTGAAAAATGTATGCATTAGCTATAAAAAATCTAATCTTTTTGGGAAGAAAACTGTCATACATTTCAGTAATCCAACATGGGAACATCTGAAATTTGTATACAGAACGTTATTAGGACATAAGGGAATGAAGCTGCTTTATACATTCTGTAGTTTATCTTGTCACTAAAAATAATTATGTTGTTACTTGTAAGCCTAGAACTTAAAAGCTTATGTTGTCATTAAAACATAATTACATTGTTAATTAGTGGAAATAAATCAAGAAAAACCACTGTGTACCTGATTTAAATTCAAATTCATCCAATCACATGAGAATGGACAGTGAAGGAGAAAGGTGGTAATTTTGTTAGTAGTAGGTGTTTGTTATGCGAGTTTTAAGCTATCAGCCTTTAGTATGTTGTTTAAAAACCATTATGCATGCAGCCATTTTGGTAACTATTTGCACTTGTGTTTCTGAAATATTGTTAGCTTCTTTTTAATCAGACAGGCATACAAATGTACATATATAATATTTGAATAAAAAATACCATAAATTGTGAAAGTAAGCATGATTGCTCAAAGAGAGCTACGAGTGGTAGGAAACAAGTTGAAAATAATAAATATAGTTTATTTTTGATCTATGAAGTATATTCTAGTAGATTTTAACTCAGCTTTTTATATTTTAGATTTATTTGGTTGAAATGATTAAGTATGATTTTGAAACAAATTCCATAGATAACAAATATGATCACCCATAAATTCTCACAATTAATAAACACACATCTTAACTAATAATTTTAGACTTAGTCCTACATTGTACAAACACAGACAGGTCTAATTGAACTTGTCAAATTTATATACATATGTATAATGCACAGGACATATAACTCGGTAAAAAATGAACCATTAGTACTGTTGGGAGACTACAAGAATATTTTTGATGACTCTGAGATTAGGATAGAATATGAGTGAAATCAGTGATTCCAATTCCCCTAAAGCCAAATCTTCATATGTGCCCACTTAATCAGCAGATTACCCAACACCACCTGGAATAATTGGATCACATCTGAATGTCATGTAGACCATAAGTCAACACTAACTAATAGTAGGTTCACATCTATCATATTAACATAAAATATCACAGTATTATATTCAACATTTTAGAAAATATGAAAGCAGTACAACCCCTATTCAACAATTACAACCCTCTGGACAGCTCCTGTGTATAACTAAAAAAGTAAATAAAACCACCATTAATCTACATAATGTTTTATATCCATAACCCACCACACACACACACACACACACACACACACACACACAAAAGAAAAAGGAAAGAAAAATAAAAAAACATTCTTAAAAGAACCTGCATATCTTAAATCTTCTCTTATGTCATCACTTATTCAAATAATGAATAATCATAAATATAAACTGTATAATGGATATGAAATTAATAAAGAAATGTTTTGAAATGCACTAATGAAACATTTTGAAATACCCTCAATGACTATTTTTCATTTGCTATGAAACAGTTACACTGCAGTATAAGTTAATAACAGAGCACCACTAAGGCTACAGCCACTTTGCTACTTGTTTTGTTGCTTTATAAAAGAAACATTTACCACCAGTTTATTCAAGACACAGAATAGCTGTTATGCTAAATGTTACTTTAACAGAGTATCACAACAAGGATACTTAATGTACATTTAAATTAAATACTGTTCACAAAAAAGATCATGGAAATATGGCAAACTGCCTTGGGTACTTGTATACCCTGGTCTGAAAATGAGAAGAGTGGTTTGGTATAGAGAATTCAATAAACATATTTTTATATATCCTTCCCCCTAAGTGTATTTTATTAGATTTGTTTTTACAGACAAGAGATGCTCTATAACTTTTTTGATTTATGTGTAATTATGTGCTACAATTTTGGTGTTTTGAAATAACTTCCTTTATTTTTTCTTAAATTCAATAATAACCCTATGTCTAGAATGAATTGTAGGTAGTTTTGTAGTGGGTTATACAAATAAATTGTTGAATTACATAAATATATGTTTAGAATGATAGTAGATATTCCTTGATGACTGAGGTCAGGAGTTGTATTAGAAGAAGGGTGATTGCCAGCAAAAATCCAAAGTAAGCAGTTGCATTAGAATTCAGCTGTTATTTAGGATTATGATTTATGTTAAGAATATGCCTTTAGAAGACTACCTATGTGAACTATGTATGTATATGTGTATTTGTATGTTTATATTACTAATAACTATATATATATATAATAATAATAATTAAGTTGTCTAATTTCTCAATATGCCTGTGAGTCAACTGTACATTCTAAACTAATCCAATTTAAAGTCCAGTTCAGAAATAAATGAACTGTTATTTTTAGGTGGTTGTCAACCATCAGTAGGATACACCAACAGTGTAGAAAGTTTTGACTCTGAGAAGAACCAGTGGAAAATATGCCCACCAATGAAACAAAAGCGATATAGACCGGGGGTTACGACTTTACATGGAAAAATTTATGTTTGTGGTGGAGAGGATGGTTTTGACCAGTAAGTGTTAGGATATATTTTTGTGATTGATATGTCTCTAAACTAGTTTTAGACATAATATAATCTTTTTTTTGATGTGGAATACTGGTCAAATTAAAGTAGGAAAGTGGGAATTTTTTATTTATTTTTTGTAAATGTGTATGTTGCCAATACTGAAGGTATGTTTAATAGAAGTTTTAAAATAAATTTTTCATGTGCAAAATGCCTACTTTTGCAGGAATCTTAAAATATATTCTGTGACATCAAAAGTGTAAATACAGAATGATATCCTGCAAATTACCATAAAATGTGGGTAATCACTTTTTTTTTCTTATATTTTGTACTCTACAATTATTTTATAAACCAAATAAAATATAAAATTTAACGTTACACACTTGGACTTTAATTCTATGATGACAATAATTTATTCATATTTTTAGAAGAATGTATATTTTTTTAAGTATTTTATAAAATGTACAGCCAATGAACTAAAAGCAGGTAAAGCCAGAAGTACAAGTTGGTTATATAATTCCATAAGCATCATGGGAAAAAGAATAAAGTTGAACATTGAACTTTTAAAAACCTGTAAATGAAGCAAATTCAAGGATTGGTCATGCTAGTACCAATATTTTTATCACTTGGTTGAAAAACTGATTTTTAATCAACATAAATTCAAAGCTATAACTTTGTATTGAGTTTATCAGAATGTGAATTATAATGTTTCTATATTTATTAAGATTTACAGATTCATGTTCATGATTCAATTCTCAGAGTATAATTCAAATTAATTCACTGTACTCAGCAAGTTAAATATATAATCCTGCATATTTTCATCTGACAGTAGGCTCTTATAAAGAAAATGTGTACAGATTCAGATTTTATTGTTAATCATATTAATTTCAATAAATTTCAGTCTTAAAAGGTTTAATGTTGTTGAAAAAAAGAGTTCAGTTTTTTTTACTGTATATCTCTGTACACTATTAGTATATGTTATAAATAGTAATTATTTTTGTTCTCTTTTATTCTTTTAACAGGTATCATAAAACAATTGAATGTTACTGTCCTGAACAGAATCAGTGGAATATTGTTGCTGGTATGCAAACTCCACGAAGTTGGGTTGCTTGTGCAACATTAAGGGTAGGAGTATTTCGAACATTTTCTGTACTCATAAAAAATCATTTGTATTTACTGTTTAATTACTTTTACTAAAATATTTTATGGGAGATAATACAGGTTATATAGAAATTACTGACTTGTTTTTAATACAATTCACTAACAGTGGGGTCCACGTTTTGCATGGTGAAAAACTGGGTGAAATCACTCGTTTTATTTGTAGGATAAGTTTGGGAACTTAGCAGTAATTAATTGCAATATAGATGGTATTTTTTTTTTCCCCCTTTTTGCGATTTTTATGTCATTAGCGACTACATAACCAACAAAGTCACGGATTCATAAGCAGTTTGGTATGAAATAGTTTAGAAAAATGTTTAAAAGCCCAACTGATGAGTTGTGGTATTGAATGAAAAGGTTATTGGACAGTGACTTCAGGCAGCAAAAGACAGAATTGAAACGGTATTTGTTACACAGACCCCTAATTCTAAGCCATAATGGACAAATTAAGAATGTGGAAAAATCTGCAGCTTACTTATTTTTATAACAGTTTTTAGGCCTATTGGTTTTCCAATATTTCACTGCCTTTTAGCATTTAAACTATAAGCATGAAGAGAAAGTCACAAAGTAATATTAAACTCAGTAATATAATTTGTCTTTAATATACAATTCCTTTTGGTCATTGAGATTCTATTAAATTGATTTACTTAAATAAACAAAAAAATATTTTACATTAGAATTCAAGTGTTATTTCCTTTGCTTTTTGTTTTAGAGGTACTAATGATATAGTACTTATGTATTGTGACTTTACTGTTGTAGAGTTGGGATTTTTAGGCTCTAACATAGTGATTCTTTGTTTATCTGGGCTATTCTGAGAATGTGGAGTCTTTGTATGTGGCATTTTGGTTTTAAAAATATGGATGAATCTTAATATGTTTATAGCATCATCATAAATACTATATCAAACTTAATTAATTGTTAGTGATAAAATATTCTGTAGATAAATAGCACTTGTGGTCTTCTAGAATAGTAATAACATATATACAATATTGATTATTGCACAACAAAATCAGATTTATTATAATTGAGCAGAGCCATAAAAAGACTACAGGTTTTGGCATCATCAGGTGTAAGAGTTAAATATCGGTTACTGACACCTACATAACATTCAATTTACATAAACATACATTACATCCTCAGCCCTGTCTTGACCTCAGTTACACTATAACATTCAATTTACATAAACATACATTACATCCTCAGCCCTCTCTTGACCTCAGTTACACTACCATCCCTGAAAAGCTAACAAAATCAATTTACAGTATTTCATTTTTTCCACACCTGGTCCAAAATCTTTCTTTAAAAGAATATTTTTGTTCTTAATTTTTGCTAATTCTCTAATACGTAGTTCCTACATAAACTCAATCTGATTTATCAGTTTCACATCTTTCCACTCTATAACAAGACATGCTTGCCACATGTTCCATTAAAGCTAAATAACTTTACCCGCTGCATTTTTGTGTTCCTTAATTCTAAATTTCAGATTTCTATACATTTGGCCCATAAAAAATAGACAACAGACAAAGTAATTCTGTAAGTACCACATTTGTCAACTTGTTTTATTTTAGCTTTTACTTGTGTTAGGCAATTATTTAACTTACAATTTAAACCTTTTTTGTTGTTGTTACTTATTCTTGTTGACATACCTTGAACTTATGACAAGCAAACCCTCCTGTCATCAACTTTAGTAATTTCTTGTAACCTTGTAAATAGTGACTTTTAAATTTATTACTGTACTTATTTTACATATCACTAAATTCGGGGTCTTAGCCTTTTGTCATTAGCTACATGTTTTAAGAAACTTAAGTAACAACCATAACTACGGATTTTCAGTGCTCTGAATAATAGTGAGAATTTGATGTAGACTTCTCAGTAGCAGTGTATTCTTGCAAGGTCACTGAGTTGAAACAGATATTTATATACACCTCTGTATTGAAAATACTCTCATGATTACAACTAGCATAGCTGAAACAGTGAATTCACTGTTCACATACTTAAAAAAAAACAAAACAGAAGGGACATTTTATTTTTTGGTTTCAAAACCAATTATTGTATACACATGTCATTAATCATAAGTTTATTAAAAGTTTCTTAATGTACATCTTTGAGACCTCAAAAAATTAAACTGAGCCAACATGCAGGTGTGAAAAATACAGAATATATATTACATATGTAGCACTGATACTCATAAGATAAAAAAAATTATCAAGTTCAGAAATTTTTGTCTAGAGCATGTATAACACAGTAGTTTTGTGGGGAGGGTGAGATTATTTCAGTTAAATATACATAAATAACAAAAAAATATTCCACACCTTTCATGTAACAAATGAAGTTTGTAATCAGCTACTTTTAGACAATGATTTTGTTCAGAATCTTAACAATGGTTATGTTTTGTACTCTACCTTTTAGATTCTTTAAAGTCAGTATTAAAATGTTAATTTGGAGAGATTGAATCGAACGATATACAAAATTTAACGTTAAATGAAAGTCAAGAAACAGTTTTTTGAGTGAAATATTTTAGTTCTTAACTTTATAACAATATTTTGACCATTTGTGTGATCATCATCATCAGATAAACTGTTGTATGAAATATTGAGCGAGCATTTTGTTTCAGTTTAGAAAACATACGGAGTGACAACTGTGTTTTGATTTAAATTGGTTTTAGTCCACAAATAGTTAATGCTTCTTTTATTAATGTTGTTCTTGTTACATAATATTTCAAGTTGCTAATATTGATTTGTTTTGTGATTGTTATGTTTTTTGATCCTAATATTTATGTTGCACCATGTTGCCTATATAAGTGATACTGCACTGATACTTCTGCTATTGAAGTTGTCAGAATAAAACTTCTTAGATGATCTTTAATTTTAGTTCTCAGTTTTTGAATAAATTATAACTATTGTTGAGATTTCATTATTTTCATACTTGATTCCAAATTTTTATGTTTTTGGTAAGACACATATGTCTGAATTTGTGCATTTTATTTCCTTTTTTGTTATAAAGTTAAAAAATAAAAGAATCCACACAAAAAGCTGTGTCTCTGGACTTTTATTTAAAGTATACAGTTGATTTCCTCTCCTTATAACAAATGTTAACTTTGCATTTTTTCTCAACAGGTATCTGCTGTTACATCCGTACAGGAAGGATGAAGATTTTTTGTGTGTGTCAGACTTAATTTATAAGTAGAAATCTGAATTGAAGACTGTGTGCTTGTTTCCTTTTACTTGGAACATATGGAAAGTTCACTTACTTTTTCATAACAAGTGCTGTCTTCTATATATATTTACCGGACCAGCTTTATACATTTAAGTATACACTGTCATCTGTGGATTTCATGCATGCTCACCTTAATAGTTAGGTCTGATGTTTGTCCTACAGCACACATTGAACTGTGTTATCAGCTGAAAAAGTTCAGTCATTTCACTCATTTACAGTTAATTATTTACTATGATAATTTTAATAACAGCTAAGCTAAAAATCACAGACAGTTATTACATAAAATGTGTTGGAGATGAAGACAATAATTACAATTTGGCAGATGGTTTTCTTAACTATAGAAGTTAAGCTGTGAGGTTTACTGCTGATTGTGTAATATTTAAACAAATGATCATAGATTGTTATAAACATGGTTATTCTTAAAAGCAAATACGAAGATGTATTGTGTAAAAAAAAAAAAGACTTATAGGAATAAACATTTAAAAGGAAATGTACTTGAAAATGTAGAAAAGGTTTACTTCAAGTTAATCTCGCAGTAATTTCCAAAGAAACAATACCATTTATAGTTCACCAAAGATACATGACTTGCTGAATGGAAACTGTAACAGTAGTTTCTCACTGCTTGATAAGTTATAATTTGTAAATTAAATGCTATAGTAACTACTTGAGTTACAGGATATAGATATGAAGATGTGACAAAGTTATACATTAAAAAACTAGTACTGAATGGATATTGTAATTACCCTTCTGACTAAGGAGTAGAGCTGGACAATTTAAACAATTACATCAATTAGTGTCAGGTAAACTAACTGATTATTACCATTTTCAATCATTCCAACAATCAATCAGTGATTTAAAATTACGATTGCATTGATTGTCACAAAAATAATCAACAAACCCGAAATTAGTTTCCGATTATTACTATTTTTGATAATTCAAACTACCAAGTAATCAAAATATTGCTATTATCTTTTGTTTGTTGTTAAGTGATAAAGCTTCTTAATGGGTTATCTGTACTCTGCCCAATCTTACTTCAACTTTGTTCAGCTTTGGTAAATTGTGTTGGGGGAGAGGTCAAAGCTACTAAGACTATCTGTCACTAATTTTGAACTGCTGACTAGAGGAAAGGTATCTGGCAAGCACCCACTGCTAACTTTTACTTTTTTTTTTTGCTTGTACATACTATAGTTTCAGAAACACTGAAATAATCAATTAATTGATTGTTACTGATGAATGTGGCAGTAGATCAATTGATTAGGAAGTACCACTAATTGCCCAGCTCTACAAAGAAGACTTTCTTGATTGTTTGAAATGATTGATTCTCATGATTTAGTTTCAAAAATAACAATAGGACTTTCATAAAAGATTTATGTAACTATAAATCACATTGGCATAGAACTAAAAGCTTTTTTTTTGAATTGCAAAGAAAAATCTTTATAACATTTAATGTTATAACTTGGAAAGATGGCAAAATTATCACTAGCAAAAGGAAATGAGACTAAAATTTTAACATATTTTTCCTTTATTGGTGAAAGGGTGTTATGAACACCACAAATTATTTTAAATTTTCATTATTGTAAGATTAGCAAAAAATAATGTGAAACACACAACTACATCGCACCTATTTATTAGTTATAAAACATCAGACCACACACTACCAGACTTTTCTCTTTCTGTTTATCTGCTAAGAACAGCTAGTCAACTTGTACAGATATCTAGGCAGGAATGGAAAAACAAGTTCAAGTTTTGTTTTATATGCTTCTTTTCTTCACAAAATAGTGACTTGGATTATATTATTTGTTAACCTTTTTTCTAGTGGAATATAGCATGAAAGATAATTGTATCTTGAAGGCATTTATGAACTACCCCCACTCTTAAGTCACATGCTTAATAAAAAACCTGAGGATAACTTGATATGGATTTTATTAAAAGTTGGTCAAAATTTTTCTCAATAATAAAATCATTAACAACAATTGGTATTATTATGGTAATTACAAAAAACATTGAGATATTTTCAAAGTACTAATAATTGAAAAATAATTAGTTCATGCAATGTTCCATCAATCATATGAATAGGGAGGAAGTTTGCTGCCTTTTTCCAGCTTCATTAGTAATTCAAACTTAGCCTTAAATAGTTTAAAAATAGGTGCAAGTAGTGATTGTATGTTAACCTTTTCAATTAATGTTATCTGCCTAAATCAAGTAAACATAAAGAAATACCTAAATTTGTTTCTTTCAATCTATAAATTATATGGTAGGTGTACAGCACTATAAAAATGCAAACAACTATGGCTAGGTGTATTCTTCTGTGTGTGTGTGTGTACAGAATTAAAGAATATGACAACTATACGGTGAGATGTAGACTCCCCTGTGTATACAGCACACTAAAAATATGACAACTATACGATGAGATGTAGACTCCCCTGTGTATATAGCACACTAAAAATATCACAACTATACGGTGAGATGTAGACTCCCCTGTGTATATAGCACACTAAAAATTTGACAACTATATAGTGAGATGTAGACTCCCCTGTGTATACAGCACACTAAAAATATGACAACTATACGATGAAATGTAGACTCCCCTGTGTATATAGCACACTAAAAATATGACAACTATACGGTGAGATGTAGACTCCCCTGTGTATATATTACACTAAAAATATGACAACTATATAGTGAGGTGTGAGCTTCATTGCATGTACTACGCACAAAAATATGACAATTATATAGCAAGATGTGTAAACTTCTCTGCACATATAGCACACTAAAAATGTGAACTATATGGTGTGATTTAAACTTCTTTGCATGTACAGCACAAAAAATGTGACATCTATATGGTGAGATGTATTTTGATACTGGAACAACAAATTAAAACCAAGATTGCATTATTTTACTTTTTAGTACAACTTTAATAAAACACTATAAGAACTTGAAATTTTTTGTAGCTATATAATGCTAAAACAATATCTATATATTTGTGACGATAAAAACTTCCACCAGAAGTAAAACTTATTTCATTTATTTTAATATGAAATTTTACCTTATTTTATTATGACCTATTAACAATAATTCAATGGTATTGTAACATAAGAACATAGGTGCTGTACAACCTTCATAAATCACAATCTTATTGGTACAAGAATCAGCTTAAACAAATTTATTCTCATCCTTAATTGACTGAATTACATGAACTAATAAAAAAGATGGTCTGTACAAGGCAGTTATTATTCCATCTCATTAATCTACCATATACAGCCATGCTTTCTTTTTACAGGAATACAATTGCTTTCAGCAAAACTAGGTTCTACTTGATTGTTTATTTTTAGAGAAAAGTCATATTGGGCTATCTGCTGTGTCCACTGCAGGGAATCAAACCCTGGATTCTAGCATTGTAAATCCATAAACTTACCACTGTCCCACTGGGGGACATTCTCTTTTGACGTATAAGGCATTCTATTATTTCATTAGAAAGTGAAATTTGTACTTAAAACAGCCTTAGAGGAGTTAAAACATTTGATTAGTCTGGTATGATTATCTTTCACAGAAGTAATACAAACCACTTGCATATAGTATTTGAAATAATTTAATTTTTTCTCACTCTATATATACACCTGGAAAAAAGTTAAGCACCCCCGTGTTTTTTCAAGTGATTCAGATTCGACGTTCTTGTGACTGATTATAAATTACCATTCAATCTAAACGTGTTTATCAAACGAAATTATGCATTATTGGGCACAAGAAAACAAGATTATCACCGTA